AACAATAAATTGTGACAGTGTTTAACAGATCTGAAAAACTTTCCCACCTAAAACTATAGGAAAATATGAGGAAAAACTTAAAAGGAATGTCAAACATTTATTTAAAAACACCGTCCAATTTTCATGAGCAAGAAAACAACACAGACATTGAAGTGAGAAACATTTCATGAATGCTCTGAAACTCCAAATCTTGCTAGTCACTTCGCATATTATGTAAGGTTTGAAAGAAGGCAACCACAACTGACCTGTATCTTTTTCCTGGTTGTGTAGCCATTCAATTATGTTCTAAAACTTTAAAGATAGAGACTGGGATCAATTTTGTAATTTTCAATAATTTCAAAAATAAAGCTTGGCTGCTCACCTCAAAATCCCAATCTCCATACACGTTTGGGTCGCTTTTGTTGCTCCAAATGTAAGTATGAGCTTGTAACTTTTCAGAATTATCCTGCAATTATTGTCTTTTTTATTAGTATTTTCCCAACAGCACAGATGCAGTGTATTTATATGTTAAATTTGGGATATATAAATAGCCACACCGTCCTCACTCATCAATTAAAATTTTGATTCAAATTTGTTGACCCACTTTGTGGACCTATACCCTATTCAATCTGTCCTTCAGTCTTTTTCTTCATTTGTTCTTAGGTTGATTAATGCAACTTGTAATGCAAATATGCAATGATGCTGAGAAGGAGAAAGAAAATTGTTTTAGATACTGTCAAACTTGCCTTCAAATAAACATGAACATCACTTCTTTCATATTCAATATCCTCAAACTCGTCCAAAATAAATAATTCCAAATCTGAGATGCCTTGCAGGACCTGACCAGAAAGAAAGGAAAAGGAATGAGTTACTCAAGATGACCACCCCACATGCTGTTTGAACAATTGTCGGTGAGAAAAGAGAAACTAATGAAACAGGGAATGTATCACATAACTCCACAACCATGCCATACATAAGAAAGGAAAAGGATAAACAGTGACTTAGGACGTATGTATTTTCTTGCACCTTCAATAATTTTACACAGGCACGAGATCAGATTTGCTCGTAAGCTATGGAGATAAAACGTTGCAATCAGTTAGGACGTATTTATTTCTTGCAAGATCAGATTTTAACCTAACTCGGAGTAAGATGTTGCTTCTATACATCCAAGCTTAAAATTTATAGATATGGTCAGCAATGTGAGAACAACGTAGGTTTCCATTCAAAACAAGGAAATGATGAAAAACTACTGAACAGGACGTAGATAGATGGCTAGCTCGGGAGATTCAGGTATTAAGTGATGCCTATACGAAGATGCATAAGCAAGTATTTCCGGATCGTATAAGTTATGACTAAACCAATACATTGACGTTAATAAGGTCAGGGATATTACAGACCCTTCCAGTGACTTTCTTATCCTCCACAGGCAGAATAGCGGGATAAACACGACCTTTGATGCTAAATCTATGACTGCAAGTCAAATCAACAACTAAGTTAACAGTCCCAAGAACATAAACGATGGAAAAAAAGTGATCAAATGCCCAAACCCCTAAGATCAAACATTGTGGTTCCCATAGGGAGACATAAAAAGGGAAAGTCTCGAAGGGTTGCGCTCCAAGGATGGAGCAGCACCATCGTTGATAACTTGTGAATAGGAGACCGGTGGTTCAAGCATTTTGAATTTCCTTGATTAGAATTCCCACGCTATTTATGTAGATAGGAAACTAAAGTGGCCGATCGTACAAAAAGTTTCAAATCAGTAATCAAATTGATGAGAGAGGGAGAGATAGACAAACTGGTCGGGCAGGGTGGCAGGGGCAGAAGGAGGAACGCGCTTGAGAAGGACTTGAACGACGTCGTCGGCTAAGAGACTGCCATAGACGAAGACGTTGTGGAACTGATTCGGAATGCTGACAGAACTAACCGCACTCATCTTCTCTAATTCACTCCCGCTGCTTCTCTGCACTTTTAAGCTCAATCAATCGCAGGTCTCATAGGATAAAATAAAATTATTATAATTAGATTTTAAAGAGGGCGCTGAGGTGAGGATGGAGTTCACTTCTTTTTATTCTATTTATCTGACCAATTCTATAGCCGTCATCAATGTTCTTTAATTACTTCTTTTTTTGCCAGCAATGTTCTTTTTTTATTTTTTTGGTAATAATTAATAAATGATGTTCTTTATACCAATAATAAAAGTAAATAGGTGCTAATGTATCTTTTACACTCACTTCAACTTATATACAATTTTAATCTTAAAATCGGATGGCGAAGGAATACTTTAATGATATTTAATAATTAATAATTATAAGTTAAAATCAACTTGTACATTTTACCTGGACAGAAATGGCATTCCAAGATTCTGGGACCAAGCACATACCCTCTCTCCCCCACCACCCCTTTTTAACTTTCGGGATAAAACTCTCCCTAGCTGTTCTATATTAGGCATCAGGTCCCATATAAATATCAGTAATTATTTGGGCTTTCTGCCATAAGGAATTATTTTGATGTGTCTGTTGGTAAAAATAATTCATTAAATTCGGCCCCTACATCCAAGTAATTCGAATGACTGTTCGGCTTCTTAGTTTGAACAAGGGAAAAATTCGGTCCTTCGAAAGTTTTAGAAGCAATAATTATACAAGGAATTCTCCACAACTCATTAGCTGTTAAAGAACTAATAATCCTTTTATCATAATTGTCTCTTGAAAAAAATTGTCAAGCGATAATATATAAGCATATTGCAAGTATACAGTCGGTTCCAAACATAGCACAGAAAGCAAGTCGCGTGACAAAGGCCCTATACGTCCATGGGCTCAGGACTTGGAGTGCTAAGAATGTCCAACAGAGAATTCTGTGGTTCCAGCTCCTCATGCCACAGAGGAAGTTTGTCTCCCGGGTAGAAGTTCCTTGTCACTCCTTCGGAATTTATCTACACAGCAAACAGGGAAATAAGATTACGTGATTTTCCAACGTAATCACAAAACCAAATGATCTTAGATATTACTATCAAATTGTTCATTCCATTTCACTAAAAATATAACCAACCATGAGTACCATACACTATACAAAATCTACAAAATCAATCAAACTGCCTCGTATCATTTATATTTTGCATTGATAAATAAGCACGTAACTTCTGAGAATTAAAACACAAGTGAATAGCGTTTATCTATGAAGCTTAATCCTAGTTATATTATTATTGAAAATTCATAATTATCATTTGGGTGAAAGGACCTGATAGCAATTGCATGTGCATTTTCCACAAGAAAGAATAAGGAAGAAAATACTAACAATCACAGTGCGGACAACACCACCACTTGCCCCATCACGTGCGATAGCCAGTGAAACTGCCTTTCTTACTAATTCCTGTCATTAAGGCACAAAAAAACCATTAGCAACAAAACTCTAGAAAAAATCACCGAAAATGAAAGAATTTAATCGTGCAAGTCCCCAAATCATGAATGATAAGGTGACTAACTAATGTAGCACTCAATAATGACTCAAAAAATCCTGTCCAATTGTTCTATTTGGCTATTTGCTTTACAGCTCGGCTAAAATGTGGTTTGTCCCTGATGTCTGAGTCAGGTTTCAAATTCATCTCAGTAGTTTCAGTAACTCCAATTCTCATTACTAAAAAAGGTTTAATGTTTTCCTATTAAGCAGCAATAACTGCCCTGCTGACTTATCGTCAAGCATACATGACATTCTAATGGTCAAGCATTCTTTCTCTTTCTTCCCCTTCTCTTATTCCCTACATTTTCAGATCAGATGCAAGAGATTAACGACCACACAACACTCAGTCGACTGCCTATCTTGTGCTGCTCGATGGAGCATTGCCTGAATACTTTTATGGACACACGTTAATTTGGGGAGAGAACATCATGGCTAAGGAATGATGGTCAAATGTCTAATTGTCCCAGTTAATCTCCTACCATGCCCCGCATCCATGGTCATTTCCTCCTCTCAAACTTCTTTGAGGATGAAGAGAAAAAGGGAGAAGGAAAATAAAAGAACAAAAAGCAAGGAAGAATATTTGACTATTAGAATGCTACATAGACACGAAGAAGTAACAGGTATGTAATTTCCACCATTTAGGTTGATGGATCCAATAGGTTGATATAACATCGGAACTTGAAACAAGGTAGGACAAAATTGAACCAAATAAAACTTTTGGGACAAAATCAATACTTGGCTCAAAATTTAGGAACCACGGCAGTGATTTAGGTTAACTTATTCATTTAGTTTTACGCAGGCACTGGCAAAAACCAACACCCATACCTCTGCTTCATCCTTGGTCATTCCTTCTTTCCATGCTTGGTCAAAAAAACCATACAAGTAACTTGAGCCAGATCCTGTCAAACACATCATATCAATCATAGCTGGATTAAAAAAATTCTAAGCATCTAACAAAAAAGCAGTACTTGAAACGGACAAAGAATTAAAGAAAGATGTATACAAAGTGAAAAACGCCAACACACAATTGGGGACAAGGATTTTCAGCTTGATATATACAATGGGCAAAATAATACAATTAAACATTTGAAGGCAAGAATTTCAAAACTGGTAATCTCTGCCAGAAAATTCCATCACTAAACAAGAACTATACCAGGTCAAATGATGATAACAAACCAAGGTAGAACAGGTACCATGTTTAAGTGCATAACCACACGCACAAATTATGATGGTAATTGCATTTGATCACAACGTTAATGTTAAATTACCTCCAATAGCAAAAGGCTGCTGTACTATTGTTCCCCCCAAAGGAACTGCATAAATTTGACCCCCTTCATATTTGTCCCATCCACCAATAATTAAGCCAGTCTCTAAAAAATTCTGTCAATAATAATAGATTTTCAGCAAAACCAGATAATAAAATAGCCTATGAGTTCAACTGTTCAAGAAACCCTAAAAAGATAGAACTCCGTCAATCTAACACAGTTATCTCATATTCCTCTCATAATAGCAGAATTTATATTTCTCTACCACCTCGTCTGAAACTTAACACCTTTTATGACATCACAATTACTATCATAATGTCACAAGACATGAAACATTCAGATTATACTATATGACAGTACAAGAAAGCATAATAAACATCACCCCCCCCCCAAAAAAAAAAAAAAACATAGCACGCATGCACAAAAGGCGGGGGGAAAGCAACTAGAAAGGCTAGATATCTTCCATCTTGTAGGAAACATATAATCTATGATCGACTATGAAGGCAAGAGAGTCAGAATTATTCATTATCAATACGAAGATTGCATTGTAAATTTCTTATGAGGCGAGTACACTTTTAATCAACTATTCCCAGCAATCAGCTAATTCAATTCTTGTGAGAAACTCAGCAATATATTCCCAACAAAAAAGATAAAAATCTTAAAATTGGACCTTGTTGTTATAGGATAGAAGGCGGACAAGGTTTGCAGCCACTTTGACAGTAGCAGGTTGTCCAAGCTGTACTCTGTACAAAAAGGGAAACTAGCAATGAGAGCAACAAAGCTAGAGCCATAAAAATTGCAATAAGCAAAGAATTAACATCGGGAAAAAATATTATATGGTCAATAGAAACATTAACATGAGAGTATATAAGCCTGAGGGACAGTGCATAGAAAATACATTAAATTACAACCAAAAAAAAAAAACCAAGACACTTTGAAAGTACAGGAGTGACATTATCCAATTTAAAGGAAACATTTCATGTAATAAGAAAATCAAACAGGCCATCGAGGAAAGGAGCCTCCAAGCAACTAACTTGAATAATGTTTGTTCATCCATATAACCCAAAAGGCCAAACCTTTATTTCAAACTTCATAATATTCTATTAGTATAAATAGGAGTTGGATTCACTAACGTGTGTTGGTGAAGGAAGTAGCGGACATAATCAGACACAATCTGTGAATCTGCGGCCTGAAAAAGGTTAATAAATAAATCAGCCTTAATGAAGAGACAGAGTCAAGGTTAGAACTAATAACCAAAAGAATGAGAGAAAATAATACTGGATCATTCAATTTCCAATCTTCCCCAAAATGTTAATATCTATAAGCTGAAAAGATATATGCCCAGGGGTAAATTATAAAAAGTAGAAACAGAATGCGCAGAAGAATGAGGATCTAAGCATTCACTAACATTATTAAACAGCCAAAAGCACAGTTATCCACCAACACATTGAATTTATAAAAGCCAGACCTAGGTAAAACTGGTTAATCATAGCTCTAAACCGTCATAATATTTATGTCGCATCTGCTTGATAAGAATAATATGGTTGTTCAATAATAATATGACGATGGTACAGTCTTTGTAAACACCCATACAATTCCTGTCACCTTATTATTAGAAAATACATACTTGCTACCTCTTGTCCAGATAATTGATTGCAAGAATATTTGAAACTGCATATTATTCTAGATTTAAAACAGCAAACCAAGTTGAATCCAACAATAAAGAGTAAGTGAAGCAAAACATCAGATAACAAATCAACCAATAAAATAACTAGCAAGAATCTTGAAATAGGAAGAGTGCTACCGATCCCGAGCGACAAACATAGACATTATCTGTCAGTTGTGTAATTTTGTCAGAAGCCCGATTTGCAACATATACCCCTGCAAAAATGGTGGTATGAAATAGAACGAACACTCAGCCCCAAAAATGACCAGAAAAGGAAGAATCCTATTACGAACAATATTTTCCAGGGTTTATTCAAAAAGAAAATAGAAAAATTCCCATAATAAGCTTCCACATTCCACAATGGACGGTAGAAAAGCCCAATGAGGCAACAGTGTTAAAAGGGAAACGCATTGCAGCTAACATCAAGGAAGAAAAAAAAAAACCCAAAATTCATGATAAGCTAAAGATACTACGAGTACGAATATGAATTTGTAGCTGGGCGCTCCCTGATTCTCAGACAAGCCACCATATCAACCCCAAACTCAACTCCTAATCTGCTGACCGCTACTGCAGCTAAATAAAATAGATTATGAAGATAACAAAAAATAAAAGACCACGCAGTAGATGAGCCTACCAGTGCTAGTTCGGGAGTCGGCGCCGAGAACAACACCACCGTTGTAAGTGACACCGATGATGGTCGTCCCCATCGAATGAGGAGCGTTGAAATCTAGGTTGTGATCCATGCGTAGCCCCGGAACAACAAACGCAGAAGAAGAATAAGAGGTGGAATCGCGCGAAGCCCTAACACCAAGACTGAGATCGAGTCGCCAAACAATGATGATTGCAGTAATCGGGAAAAGAGGAAAATGAAAAGCCCAGTCGATAGCCTTGACTTGCCACGCAAGTTTTTTTTCCCCTTTAAATAATTAAATAAACTTTGTCATTTTTTAATGGAACCAAAACGAAACCACAAAGGTATAATAGAGAAAAATGAAGACAAAAAAACATTATTGTCAAACTCGCTCTCCGAGTTTAACGTTTTTATATTTTTAGTTAATAAAATCGTGTTGATTTACTCTTAAACTCGTAATAACTGTAAATTCAATTAAACTTACAAGTTTATTTACTGAGTTTACCATTTTTTACGTTTTAAACTTATAAAATTGTGTCAACTTGCTTTTAAACTTGAACTAAGTTTTAGATTTGATTATGTTTAGTGATTTTATATATGAATTTTATAAAAATTTCTTTGTTGAATATAATAAATTATGATCATTGATAGATATAATTTTAATTATTTAAATTTAAAATATATTTAAATGAAATTGTTCTATTTTTATATATTAATTATTTGATTATATACTTTTAATACTAATTTATTAATAAAAGTAAACTCTTACGAGTTTACGATTCGAGTTTACTATCCGAGTTTATCTCATTCTCATAAGTTTGTTTAAACTCGTGAGTTTGACAATCTTGCAAGAGAATGAAAAGACTATTGTATTTCTTACTTGTACTACAACACAAATGACATCCACTATGTATAAGCATAGTCTTACACATAGGTTATAATTATCCTTAAATGACAAATAGTGGATAATCAATCTCATAAATGTGAATGGAGGTGAGTTACAAGATTAAATAGATAGTGAAAAGGTAATAGATGGTGGAGGTAGTAAAAGTTACTTAGTGAAATTGAAGAGGAAAGGTAAATAGACATCAATATTCGCAATATTGTCCATGTTTTCTGTTTTCTTGCCCTTCTGCATTGAGTTCGGAAGGAAACTAGGTCAACGCCTTTTGTTCTAAACATAAAAATGTATTTTTATCCTATTAGCTTTATACTACCTCCGGTCCTAATTATAAGACCCAGTTGACTAATTTGAAGAGATTAAAGAAGTAAGTTGAGTTAGTTATTTGTCCTAAATAGGTGTTGTCTTTCCTAAAATATCCTTGCTAATCAAGTGTATTGACTAAAACTATTATTGTTAGAAGGGTTACTTTCGAAAAAAATGTGTAAATATGAGAGATAAAATATATATTAAAAAGCGGAGGTAGTATAATATTTTATTTTAGTCATGAAAAACTTCTTAATAAATTTCATCTCAAATTAATTCACAAAAAAAAACTGTTTCCTCAAGTTGTGCTTTTTGGGCTGCCGCGGTGATGCCTACGATTATATATTGCTTCCATCATACAAGTCTAATATTTATACTCTTAGAGGGGGGGTGTTAGTGGTATGGAAATATAAATATCTTAAATGTGAGTTCTAGTTTGTAGTGTGTAACTACAAACTGATACGGTAAAGTTCAGATGAGAGGGCAAGCTGCTGGTGAGATTAGTAAAACTTATCTAGTTTTGGGATGTTAGAAGGGCGGTGAAACAGCTGATCCCTTCTTATTCTTATTATTGATCCTTCCACCGCCTTCTAATTAGCTTTATATAAACGTTGTCGTGATTAAGCATGAATTTGCTTTAGTGTGAATGACTGAATAGAAGAATTTGGATACTTCCCTTCACTTCAATAATTTGGATACTTGTAATCTAATGCAGCATATTACAGGGAACTAAGGATGGCTTGAAGTGTTTTTCCCCTCTAATCTGAGAAGAGAAGTACTTTCACTAAAAACAAAAACAAAAAAAAGGGACAAAAACAAAGATAATCAACAGCCCAAACCCTCTTGATAACCAATGAGGAAAATGATAATAAATGATGACTTCTAAAGTAGGGGGGTGGATCAATTAATTCAGTCGAATCCTTACGCGACTCGCATTCTTACTGTGAATTTTGGATGACGGTGCGAGGTTTGCTACATCTTAGAAGTTAGCTATGCAATTTATGGTTGGTTTTTCTTTTCGGGACATGTGAAAGATTTTTTTTTTTTTGATAAGCTAGAAAACAAAGAAAAGACAAGTGACTATCTAGCTAGTAGTAGCCTTCGCAACAATACTCTGAACTGAATCAGAACCGACGACCTGAAGTCCTACGCCGTGGTGGAGATAATCATGCAGAAATTGCGAGTCTCAGGGTACTTCATAATATAATGATATAATGATATGCGGGGTGATAGACTAGTAAGCGAAACAGAAGTTCTAGTTCTATTATTGCTGTAGAATGACACATGCCGCCATAATCTTTCAGTTATGGCATCATAAATAGATTGAGCAGAACATCTTCAAATCAGTACACCCACTGCCAGGAGGTGGGTTAATCTGACCTAAGCAATATATTTGGAGAGAATGGCTGCAAGTAGGATAAGCTAACGAAACTAATTAAAAAATAAAAACAAAAAAAAGGGGAGGGCCGGGGTGTTGAGTTCTGTATATGATTGTATTTGGTGCTATAGTTTAAGCTACTTAATTGATGGACTGCCCTTTTCTTTTGGCAACGTTCTTGAATCTCTGTTAGGCTCTAATGTCATGTTGATTTTTGGCATGTGATTATACGTGGAGCTATTCACTATAGCTAAATAGCTTCAAGTTGCATGATTAGGCTGTGGCTACTCGAGGATGGAGTGGAACTGGAACTGCTCTACGTTATAAAATGAAAGGGTTGGTAGAAGAAAATACAATGGTTAGGGGCTCTACTATGTAGAGTTAAGCTAGGGAATGAATCAGCAATCACAAGGAGTCGAGGGCAATCGGTTCTGGTAGTGGCTGCACTTGAAGGGCAGGTATAGGGTCGTGAGGGTATGGCAGTTGTCCCGGCCCAACCAACTTTTCCCTGGTTATTACACTCTTCATATCTTCAATTACATTCCTCACTTCATTTGCAAGCTCTATCACCATGTCATCCTCATGGCCTGCAAATCATGACCAAAACTCATCAAACAAGCATAGACCAACAAATTCTCTTCCCCTTTTGCATGTAGACACCCGGGGGGGGGGGATTGTCAATGCAAGCACTAGACCTAGATGAAACTCACCAATATCATGCATGGCCTTTTCTAGAAGGAAAATATAGTCCCTGTTGTTCCCGCAAGGGCCACAAGCAGTTGCTATTTGCCTGAATGATCTCCAGACATCAGATAAACCAAAAGGGAAAGGTAGCATTTACACATAAACGGGGGAAACAGCAATATACCTTGCCATGTCACCCAGTGGGGCAGGTCCCAGGTAATATTTGTTTGATTTGTCTGGTGTTGATGTGAATCTGGATTGTAGAAATGAGTATGTCAGTAGATTCGTCTTCAGAACAAACCGATGGCGTGAAATTTTAACGGGGCCCTGTTGAAGATAAAGAAATAAAACTGATAGGCAATCCATGATAACTTACACGATCACTCCAGTTAAAGCTGGGTGCAGTGCATTAGTTTCCTACAAAAATCACAAATTAGCAGCAAATCTAAATCTAAATAAAAATAATAATAATTATAATGGTTAGGCAATTATGATTTCTGGCTAACTATTGAAAATCTCACCTCGTAGAAGTCTACGAGAGTCTTTTGATCATATTCACATTCCCTTCGCTCCAAATACTGCGTGAATGACAGGAATGAGGGGAAAATGATATTAAAAGAAGAAATAGCTGAACTAAGTCATTGAAAAATGCCGAGCTTATTATAGTGCCTCCTGCCTCATTTATTTCATACGAGAAGATGAATACTTAAGAGTTAATTCTAGAGATTGCATCAATGAAACCAGATACCTGCATAGCTAATTTTTCCTTTTGAGGGCCTCCACGAACACAATAAGCAGCACCCCACTGTAAAGAGATTAAAGAAGTCATAAAAGGCGGGGGGGAAACCAATCCTGACTCTTGAGCAATAAAATAGATCCTTACGCAAAGGGCCCCTTCTTTCTCTTCCAATGTGCAAGTCCTTGCGGGGTTTTCAGGTGTACCTCGGTGGTCAATGCATGCTGCAATAAGTAAAGGAGATGCCTAAGCAGTGGTAAAAGCTGAGTAAGATTATGATGGTATGTACATAAAAACCTTAAGAGCCTTACCTAGATCAAAGACGCGTCTGTAGCCCTTTATGAAACCAATGACTTTCTCATCATATTCAAATCCCGGGTTCCACACAAGTGAACCATAGCCAAAAACCCAAAACACCATGGCTGTAAAATTCTGAGGAAGAATCCACACTATAATCAATACAATTCACCGGCATGAAAGAAGATATGCTTTAAGCAGATAATGAGAGCATTTGATCTTTCGCAGGAAAAAATTTAATATAAGTGTGATTTGGATAAAACGAAAAACAGGGGAAGCCCCAGTATTTACAATCCTTTTCCCCGTTTGCAATTTTAACATAAAAGTCCTGACTTTGAAAAACACTAAACTCTATAACCCCGAGTTCAGCTTCCAATTTCTATGGCATTCCGTCGACCTCCTTCCCACAGCGACCATAAGTAAAAGCGGCAGTGACATATACAACAAAACAAAACGCAAAGCGAACCGGTAGGGTTCACAAGAGCGCCTAAACAAAAAATTTCATAGTCTACTGTGCTGGCCATACCAAAAAGGGAGCTAATGACTTAAAAGTAAAGCATCAATTTTAAACAAGCATTGAAGGAGGAAAAACTCAGCTGATATGTACCCAATCACTACGTACTTAATTAGGTATGGGCTAATTTCCTTTAACAAATTCAGACGTAAAAATGGGGATCATTCCCACGTTTTTCCCGGTTTTTTCCCGCCCGTTAAGCGATGCATAAATACAATCAATAATCACCATTGCGTGTCTCCTTAGATACTAAATAACAATACGAGAAGCATACGGAAAACGAGAATGCAACATTGAAAAAAACAGGTAGATTCTTACACTAAGATCCGGAAGAGAAAGGAAGAGCTAGAGCAATCTCCGATGGATCCAAATGACAGGACGAGATATGGCGATGGCAAGAAAGAGAGAAACAGTGGGAGGAATGCTAAACAATTAGGGTTTAGCTTGCCAGATTGAGTTGTGATTGTTTCCCTCTTCCCCTCTCTCTCTCCTTTGGAATGGTTGCTACCCGAACAGGCGATGGGATGAGGCATTGGAGAAGGAGGGCTTCCGATTTTTATAGTGTGCCAGACATGTCATGCATGATTCATGCGTCACGCATGCCTCCCATTGCTATTTTATTATGCCAACTAATTTAATCATTTAATCATTGACGTGATTATCCGACAATTACAACCAAATTTCATCCGGTTAATTAATATTAACTCCACTAATTAATATAAGAGCTAACTGAGGAGTTAACTTTGGTCAATCTTAATTCATTTTATTTTTCAAATTCATAATTTTTTTTTGAAATATTTCAATTGATTTTAAGGGAATAGTTGCTATACATAATTAAAGAGAATAGTTAAGATATACATTTGTTACAAATAATCAACTTAATTAATTATTTTTTAATATTTTTAAATTAGTTATCTAACTCTTATATTTAAAACTATGAGTAGTAATTAATAACAATTGATTCAAATTCATAATTCATAGATAATTAGACAAATTTTTTAAGAGCGCATGGTGTATTGCTAAAAAAAATGAGTGCTTTACAGGCTAAAATTTTATATTCTAATGGGGAAAAATCTTGCGCGTTTATTTTGAAAAAAACTATTTTCATTTATCTGTTTTTTTTGGGTTTGGAGATTATCTGAAAGTAACAATCAACGGGAGTTGGATTTAATGAAAAGAACTAATCCCTCACAATGTGACGAACTAAAGTTCGAATTGTAACTGAGAGAAATATTTACATTTAGTGTCTGATAGTGTTTCGAATAGAATTGCCTTTAATAAAAAAAATACTTATTTTAGTTATTGAAAAAAAAAAAAAAAAGAGTAGCAATGGGAGCCGACGATCTCATCCGGTGATAGGTAGGTGAGAGACATGGGCTTGCGGATGCGCTTCGATGTGGCCGCCACCTCCCACGGCTTTGGGAGATAATAAAGTGAAAAAACAAAACAAAAGATTCATTGAACCTGGACAGAAGAATCAGAATGTCACCGGCGCACATCCGAAATAGTGGGCATGGTTCTAGAACGGAATGGAATCGAATTTAACACATGACAGCGAGGAGAAGATTTTTTTTTTTTTTTGCCAGAATATCTCCATTTCATTTAATCAAGAGAAGAACCAAGTCTCACGTACAAGCAAAATGAAACAAAGAAAGAAAATAAAATTGTCAAAACGAACTAAAAACATGCAAATACCGGTAACTATCCTGGATCAACATTAACCCCATTAGCATCATGATGCAAAATTTTCAAAAAAGGAGCGGGCAGTCTCCAAACCCAATCCTCTGGGCTTGACCCATCCAGCATAGCCTTGGCAAGCCAATCAAGGGCAGCATTAGCTTCTCTAAGAATCCATTTAACCACATGGTTCCTAAACATTTTCCTTGATTCCAAAATATTATCAAGGATAGCAGCACATCTCCAGTCTGGAAGGTCCTGTTGAGTATTAATAAAGCTGACAAGAATTTGATTGTCTGATTCAAATTGCACGTCATCAATTTGATTTTCAATTGAGTACTCCACTGCATCATTAAGAGCAATTCCTTCCGCCATTAGTGCAGAATCAGCAGCAGTAATCCTAGCTTTTCTATCAAGCAACATTTCGTTTGAGTCTCTGACCAAGAAAACAGAGGCGACCAACTTGTTTTCTGAGCTAAAAGCACAATCAGAATCGATCTCTGGGGTATTTCTAACAGGAGGGGTCCACTTCATGTCAGCCTTTAGAGGAGGATTAGGTAATATGCTTAACAACAGTGGAGGAAAGGAGTGGACATTGGAGATCTAATTAGGATCCAGATGAGTTGGAATTTGTTTTCTACTTAATTGAGAATATTTAAGTGACACATGATGGGTCGTGACTTGTGATTAAGGGGGTATCTGGAAACATTTTAAAATATTTTTTTAAAATTTTTTTTTTATAATCCAGACAAACTCTTCTACATATTTACTTTGTACCTCCAACTCTAAATATAAGACCCATTTTATAGTGTAAATTACATTGTAAAATCAGTCTTATATTTATGATCAGAAAAGTATACCATAAAATTATTTTTAAAGTTATAATGTAGTTTTCATCTAAACATCCCTTAATCAAAGGTCCCATAACGGAACAATAACACCACGACACGAGAGCTACCTCTTCAGTCTTCACCCAACCTCGTGTATGCCGGGTCACCTCTCTATGGAGCTAAGAAATAGGCCCGGCTACCTGTAATGGGCTTAGGGTCATAACCAAAGTCTTTATTATCAGGATTAGGACTGAGCCCACAAACTCATCCTTATGTTAAAAAAAACATACTCCTCTAATCCTATTTATAAGGTAGAGAAAAAAAATACTTTTTGATCTTATTTATAGGATATTGAGAGAAATTTTTATATGGATGTATAATTTTATCTTTCATTTATTATTGTGTTGACTTTATTTACATGAGATGTAATATATAGGGATAAAGTTAGAAAGTTGTTGAATTTTAAATGAAAATTAATAAAATTTAAGATTTTTTTTATTTGTATGAAATATATTAAAAGTAATTTATAAATAAAATCAGATGAGGATTTTTAAAAGAACATCAATCTTGATCTATATTACAAGATTATATCATGAACCATAACGATAATTTTTAAAAGAATACATACATTTCTGGTCAAAAAAGAATAAATACACTTCGTTCTAATGGGCGAACCCAGTCCTCTTAGAACCAAGGCTTAGCCGCAAGCCCTATGCGTCATTTTAGATCCAGTTATCAAAGCCTGCATTATGGGCTGAGTTTACTGGGTTCAATAAAACACGAGGGAAAGGTTTAGCGGTTCTTCCCGTGCGCGACAGAAGAGACCCGGCTTCAAAATTTTCCTTCCTTGTTCTTGTTTTGATGCTAATTTAACCTCGCCATTATTATGCGTCCGACGTTTTTGGTTCAATCATAGAATGTGAAGCAATTCAATCATCCAACGAGTGTGAGCTAGAAGTAGGAACAAATCGTGCTAGAGATGAAGGAGGAGAAAAATGCGTGCGAATCTCTTCCTGGTTCTCGATGCACGCGATCTCGGGCAGCTCCGGATTGGACCTTAACGGAATCACTCATACTCGTCAATGAGATTGCTGCTGTTGAAGCGGATTGCTTGAGAGCCTTGTCCTCTTATCAGCAGTGGAAAATGATAGCTGAAAACTGCGCCGTTTTGGACGTTGGGCGGGGCTTGAATCAGTGCCGGACGAAGTGGAATTCCTTGCTAGCTGAATACAGCAAGATTAAGGCCTGGCAGTCAAAGTCGCCTCGCAAGTCGTACTGGTCCTTGGAAAGCGAAAGGGCAAAGAAATCTGGTTTGCCTGAGAATTTTGACCATGAATTGTTTAAGGCAATTGATGATCTTGTCAAAGCAAGAAATGAACGTTGGGGGACTGACCCTGAGAGCGATTTCGAAGCAGAGGCTGAGGAGCTTGATGATGATGTGATCGAGGAAACAGGTATGCTTAATCTATCTTGGATTAAGATCGTTGCTGTTGACTTTCTAACAGAGTTTCTTAGTCAAGGTCTTATTGTTTAATTGTCTCTGTCTGCTTTTACGGTAATGTTTATCAGAATAAAATCGGCATGCACCAGATAGTCTTGTAATATGAATGACCCCTATTCATTAAATGTAGTAAAGCTTACTCGTCAAAACACTCTTTTACTTGAGCCACGTAGCAACTATGGTCATAAGCAAAAAAATTTCATACAGCATACATACTAAGATGTAATCGTTTTTTATCATAACCTAATAACAACTATAAGGAGACCTTTCAAATTCAGGTTTACATGCACTCCTTAAAATGACTAAAATTAGCGGTGCTCTCTCACTCTCAGGTTATTTGATAGACAACTACAGCTGATATGCGATGAGTTTAATTATTGTTTCGCAGTACTAATCGTTTTGATTCAGTCATCTGTAAAGACAGATAATCCTAACGTGTTTTTATTTGACAAACGTTGACAGAATTGTTGACTTGATTACTTGTGTCTTGAGCTGCCTCTTCATCATAGAGTTTCAATTTTATTCTTGTTCTTGTTTTAGAGTAATAAGCAGTGGTATATGTATTTGGACACCCTTGGCCTTGGTATTATGGCGGGGGATGAACTGGTCTGTTTTTATGTATTTAACGAGTGAGCGTTGAATTAAGCATTGAAATGAGGAATTTTAACAATGTTATATGCATGTTAGACACCTACTCTATGTATTCAAAGAGCGAGCATTGTGACAAAGAATTTCTGTTGTCCACCTTACATATAGTTTCTTACCTTCGTTAGTGGCAGCAGGGCATGATAGGATCCTTAGTTACTTAATTTTTCCTCTGTAGCTGTAGGGCCTGGCAGTGTTCGAGTGCTTACGTTAGGCTTGTAGCTAGTATGAATACGTCTTAAGCTTAATTATCTGAACCTGATCGATCTGATATGCATAGCTGCCTTGTATGTATTTTAAATCGCAAATGAACGCGTACACTTCAGCAAATGCTTATGTAGGCACTACGAAAACCTACTACTGGAGTATGGGTAAATGCACGTTGTCTTGATTGAGTAAATTAATGAAATCATTCATCAGTAAGTTGTCTGTTGCCCAAATGGATTTTTACCACTTATATCTAGTAGTCTCATCATGGTTAGAAGTCAACATTGATGAGCTTTTATGAATTTGAAAATTAGGGCCCAAAAGAAAAGGGCGGTGGTTTAAATCCAAGAGGCATGCGCAAAAGCTTAAGAATTGCCTTTTAGAGGAGTCTTTAGAACTCTCAAAAGGAAGGCATCAAAGAGACTATGTTAAAGAACGGCCTGAGAAAAGCCAAGAGCCTGAAAAAAATCATGTAGAAGAAGATCATTTGAAAGACTTGGCACGAGAGAGAGCTAATTCGAAACATGCACAAGAAAAACCTTCAAAGGTTGACATGGAAATGTCAGTGAAGAGCCTTGCCAAAGGAAAGCTGCAAGAAGCCCAAGTTAAGGAAAGGCCAAGCAAGACAATAGGCAAGGAAGAAAACGATGAGATGTTGGCTTTGAAATTGCAAGAGTTGGCGGAACAGGTACTGGCCACTAGTACTGAAACAGCAGACTGTCGGACAGATTGCTCACAGAATGTTGAGGCCTATCGAACTGAATTTACGAGACGTCAGGGAGACAAGCTCATAGCAAGCCTTGGAGATCTCGCACACACCCTTAAGCAACTATGCAATCTTCTCCATGAATGTAAATAAACATCACAATTTGCTCGTTTAATTGTCCTATGTTATTGCTATGTTTGTGAATGGACGTTCTTCTATGGGCTACGGCAGCATGGTTTTAGTCTGATGAATCGATTTAGTGCGTTGAAAGATTCCTAACATGGCAGTGATGTATTGAAAGATTTTCATAAAATGCAATTTTATATATAATCTATCCATAAGAAGTTAGACGGGAATAACATTAATTTAATTTGCCTTATTTTGGTTTCCGTTTTTTTTTTTTTCAATGTATAGCATTTCTTTCTTTTTTAATATGACTAGGGGCATATAAGTATAACACGTTAAGTATACTTTTTTTTTTGTTGTGCTTTCTTTTCAACATTTAATTTTTTTCAAAAATATTATATGATTTTAAGTTATTAAGTGAGGGGAAAAGAATCTAGTTATAATGCTGCATGAAAAGTCATTGCGTTATTGAATGGTCAAATATAAAATATTAAAAACCGTCGCGACTCCACTGGGGATCGAACCCAGAATCTCTGGTTCCGTAGACCAGCGCCTTATCCATTGGGCCATGGAGTCAACTGATGGGGGGGGTGCGTAAAAATTACCTTAATCTTGTAAATGTAAAATCACTGCAGGTGGAAATTCACTTTAAGTTCCCAGGGATTAATAATTTCAACCCTCGAGTCCTCGACCCAAGATTTTGAGTGACAACCGAATTCCTCATGCCATAAATTTGCAGATTTACATGTTATGAGAGCGTTGGATATTGAAATGTCCCCAGTATACGAGGATCCTATTTTGTTGGCCAAGTCACAAGTGATCACGATTGAGAGAGTGTGCAGGGTTTTTATTTTCTGAGAGAAAAACTGGGGAGAAGCATAACAGAGAATTTAGGACGCATATGCTTGATGGGCAACAGGCACATGGGATGACAAAGTAAGTACATATGCGGGAGTAAAATTATACATACTAGGGAAGTGAAAAGTCGCAAATTATAACCTATTCACAAAAATTCAGATAAACACCAAAGCTCTAGTTTCAAAAAATGAAACTTGCATGCCATCTGCTATATATTCTTAGGTGCAGACTTATCATCATCACCATCATCGTATTTTACACTTCCAAATTTTTTTTTTTTTTTTACTAGCTTGACACAATTTTTTTAACACGAATTTAATACACCGCTGTTACAGCGCCGGCAACAAACAAAAGTATATATAAAGACACTGGATTTATAAAATAACGGCTCCTCAGCCTCCCAAAGTTTCAAGCTGAACCTTTCAACTCCTCAAAACTATAAATGGCCCATTTCATACAAACCCTCCAAGCAAGGCTCCGTTCTGGGCATAAACGTTCGCTCATAAAACAACCACCTTGCTCAGAATCCAGAGCACCAGAGAAAACTCAAAGGCAAACAGAGTATGGAGCAATCCTCGATCGAGCGCGAACCCAAACAGCGTTATCCCTACGTTATTGTGCTGTAAATACGTCACTGCATCCAAAGAAATCAAACACAACATGAATATAAACACCTAACGAAGCATCAACATCCTCAAACATTACGAATAAGAGGATAACACTCACCTAAAGCTTGCCTGGTTTGAAAGGAAGACGGCTGTTGAGGGGTTACTGATATGTATATGTCGGAGGTATCATAATCACTCTCATTTCCAAATCCTTCTGGAGTCTGAGATTTCCATTGATTATCGGATTCTGATTCGGCAGACGCGTTTGTGGCTAACATGTGCCATCTGGTCGCAATTGCCACTATCCCTTGAGCTCTGTGTGTGATCCTCGCGGCTCCCAGTAGGCACAAGAAGCACCCACATAACTGAACCACCGAACATATCTGCATTTTCCCAATGTTTCATCCCAATACTTTAATTAATTACTTGTTTGATCGACCAGTCATTGTCGCAACGAGTGCTTAATTATATGGTTACTTACCACAAGATCACCGGAATTGAAGAATGTCTTATCGGATTTGGAAGCTAAAACCAGCAGGAGAGCACCCGACTGACTAACGGTGATAGTAACCAAACACCCAATTATGAAGAACCTATATCTATGGCTTGTAACAGACAGCTGCTTTCTGATCTTGACATGCTCACGAAATATCACATTTGCATCAGACCCACAACCTTCGAATAGCTTATGAACCCCTTCGAATCTCAGTATCTGAAGCTCGCAGGTTAGCCTAAACATCACGCACACCAACAAGAACACCCCTGTTCTGTAAATCCACGAAACCAACATTAACAATAACACGATGGAATTCAGGGGAAACCCGGGGCTTATATGTGGGACAGACACTTTCACTGTTGAGAAAAATATGATCTTGTGGGCAAGCTCTACGAAGAAGGATGGTAAGATTATGGCGGCTAAGTATCTGAAGGCCTTCTCCAGCTCTCGCGTGTACCCTCGTCGAACGTACGTAGAGTCGTCCTGCAAGATGTCTAAGAAGAGAAGCTGTCTCAGCCCGTACCTGTGGAAGAAGCGAGAGAGAGTAAAGAAGGAGATAATGGCGAGGATTGATTCTGGTAACTGAACAAGCTTGTTGAAAGAGAGGGGGTCATCTTCAGCGGCGGATTCAGGGACTCGAATGAAGATGGAGGTGAGGATAGGGACGACGATGGCGAGAAACACGAACAAGACGTAAGAGATAAGCTTCCCTAGGCTGGAAGAGTGATCAAGAGCACACCATTTGAGGCTAATCCGAAAGTTTCGGAGCTCGTCGGAGATGATAGACTTGGACCTCGCGTAAGATGGCTGCAAAAGCAGAGGAACGTTATTAGGTTGGCATTGATCGGCGAAAGAGACGCGTCTGCCGGAGCAATCCACGTCAATGGCGGTGCTGGCGGAAGAGTCCATATAGTGTGGTCTGTAATAATGGAAGGGAAAGAGAGAACGAGAGCCACAGGAAATGGCAGCTCTTGATGATTTATATAGATGTGAGTGTATGAAAATGGGGTTTAAAAGAGGAGTGAAGAAGATGAAACCCAGAGAGAAAAAAGTAGAAACCTTGCTTTGTCTCGTGAGAGAGTTGTGTTTGCCTTGTAGGAGAGGGTCTCATGAAAGCCAAGAATAAAGCAGGGATACCAGATTTGTTTATGTATTAGGAGTAGCTTTTTCTATGTGCACGTCCTTCTCATATTCTTTTCTCTTCTGCTAATAGGATCATAAATATGCTTTAGCTGTCATTGTGGAACGTCTGGCTGCGTGCATATACACACACACAAGGCTAGAGCAAAATAAACAGAACTTTTATTTTCTACAATTTTAAGTTTAAAGAATTTATTCTTAGACTGAATTTGAAAGTTAATACCATCTGCTATCTTTAATATAAAAACTATGTGGCTAATTTATGAATATTAAAAAAATTGGTTAAATTAATTTTTTTATCATAAACTGATATTGTCTCCTTTAAAATATGCTGTCTACATTGAAACTATCATTTTATGAAAACTTTTTAATATGTGTTATCAACACAAGAATTATTTAAGAACAAAATTGATAAACATTGAAAGCAGAGTAAATTAATAATCTTATACTCCTCCGGTCCTTATTATAAGACCCCATTTGACTTTTTATTTGGTCCTAATTATAAGACCCCAATCCATTTTGTCTCTTATATTTATGCATTTTTTTCCAAGATAATCCTTCTAATAATGATAGTTTTAGCCAATATACTTAATTAGCAAGGATATTTTAGGAATTACAATACTTATTTATTATAAATAACCAACTTAACTTACTTCCTTAATCTCCTCAAATAAGTCAATTGGGTCTTATAATTAGGACTGGAGGAGTATTTAAAATCAAATTGAATTTGTAATTAATTAACATGCTACAAGCCTACAATTTTAAAAAAGAATTGGTTTCTTTGTTGAAATTCGTGTCACAAAAGCAGCAAACTCAAAGTTTAGGAACAAAACGCGGTTTACTCTCTTGGCGTTGGATTTAAATATCCCAAGCTGCTGGAGTCAAAAGAAATACATAATGCGCACAAAACTCAAAACAATGTATACATATGGCATAGAACATGTTTTGGTTTCATGTTATAAATCACTTGCGTGATTTTTCACAGATTTAATATTACGATCATATGCGATTTTATGATAGATCTTTCATCTATGCATGCAATGTTTTATTTATACTTTATGACAGTAGAGATTCATCAACGTGACCAGCTTAAATCAAGAAAAGGAAAATAAAGCATCATCATTTGATCGAGAAAAAATAATTTTAATAGAACATTGAAAATGAGACAGATGAAACCATATGGTAATATTAAATTTTAGTATAACAGTATATATATTATTTATAATAGTTAAGTGGACACCAAAGTAGAAGTGAATGAATAAGCAACAAAGGAGAAGTGCGTGGCGAGGAAATGGGGTCACGGGCCGGGACAATGAGACTGGTCACCTGTCACTTCCCGTCTCAACTCTCTGCTGTTACGCCCACTACAACTCTTCCACGTCACCAACCAAATCACTCATCGGTCCACTGCCGCCAACTGGATCTGCCTTTTCTCTCTACATTTCTACGTATTACTACTCCCTTTCTTCCATTCAGCTGACTAGAAAATTCACTATAAATAATTTGATGATATATATAAGTAATTTAGAGAGACGATATAATATATACTATAATTAAATAATTTAATAACATTTTAATATCATCAAATTATTTAATTAGATCTTATATTAAGTATTAGAAGTAGTATTATCTATTATTATCTTCAGTTCTTAATATAAGAGTTAGTTTGACTTTTATTTTGGTTTTAAATATAAAATCTCAATTTACTTTATCTCTTGTATTTATCTTTTTTTCCCCTCAAAGTAGTCCTTATAGTAATGGTAGTTCTAACTACTTATCTGGTCCTTAACATATATGAGACTTATTTAACTAATTTGATTAAATTAAGAAAGTTAGACAAATTAGTTAATTATAATAAATATGATACTCATCCGGTCCTTAATATATGTAAGACTTATAGTTAACTAACTTCCCTAACTTTCTTAATTAAATTAAATTAGTTAAATGGGTCTTATATTAAAGATCGGAGGAGTATGTTTTTCCTAAAACACCATGATCATCTTTTTTAATATCCTTCCTTCCTCTTCTGCTTGATTATGATTGAGGGAGTATCCATAAGGATAATTTAGAAAAAATTGATAAATATGATAAATAAGTCTTATATTTAAGACCAAAATCAATTCAATAATTAGGTCTTATATTAAGAATCAAAAGAGTAATATATTTGATTAGTAAGGATATTTTAGAAAAAATAACACCAATTTATTATAAATAAATAATTTAACTAATTTTTTAATTTATTTAAATTGGCCAACTAATTTTTATATTAAAAATTGAAACTAGTCCTATATTAAATTAAATTGATGAGGTTGACGTCTGCATACAGTGATCTCCTTCAGCTCTTTTATTGGGAGAATGAAATTAAAAGCAAGATTCTAGCGCAATGGGCTAAAGCTAAACATTCCGAACCCGATCCTACTAAACCCCCGGGACCCCCAAAAAAAAAAAACCAAGAGAGAAGATCCCAATTTTTCAGGCATCATTAGAAGGAAAAACACGCCAAGGAAAAGAATCGCATACAAATAATGCTTGAATGAATTCTATAAAAAAAAACTTTAATTTTATTTTCCTCATTTAAAAAAAAAACTGATTGAAACTTATTTGCTGTAAAGAGTTTGTTTATGAACACTTTAAATATTAAACAATATATAATTGTAATAAAAGTTTATATCATCTGCTCAGCGAACACTCGGAGCTAGGCTTCAAGAACTTAGATGGGATGCGCAGAAAATATATCAAGCATAAGAAAAAAAAAACTACCTTAGTTGAGTAAAATTTGCCTGTACTTAAAAGGAAAAAAAAAAAGCATAAAAAATGAAAATTATATAATATTGTCCATTGGACTATTGGGGAGAGACGGCCAACCGTCAATGCAAAAGGAAGAGACATAGAGTGTTCATCATAAACAAGGAAAACAACACCAAACCAGCACACAACCTTGCTCTATAAATGTATTAAACTAACTCTCCTAAGCAAACAAGACTAAACCTGCCATATGTGGCCGGCATATACCAGTTCAATTCTTCCCAGCTGGAACGACCTTTTCAATGTCACTCCCCCTTTAAACTATTCATTATTATTTCCTCAAGAATCCCTATGCATGCTTATTGCTCTCTCTTTATGTGACCCAAAACTTGTCTCATCAGCTCTCATGCTGCCTTCCATTTTCCATGTTCTTCCATGTATGGCTCACCCCAAAGCCTCTCATGGGCTTCTCCTCCTCCTCAGCTTCTTCCTCCTAACCCTTTGCTCTGTTCCATCTTTGGCCGATGACCCTCAGGTTCTGATCGAGTTCAAGAGCTTCTTGTCTAATGCCGATGCCTTGTCCAACTGGAACCAATCTATCAGTGTCTGTAACTGGAAAGGTATAAAATGTCGCAAAGGTGGATTTCACTTGATACTGGAGAAGATGGGACTGAGTGGCACTATAGATATTAATACCCTGTTGGGATTGTCCAATTTGCAGTCTTTTAGCGTCAAGAACAACAATTTTGAAGGTAAAATGCCTAGCTTTAACAGGTTTGGGAGATTGAAGGGACTGTATTTGTCCCATAACAAGTTCTCTGGAGACATCCCTGATAATGCTTTTGAGGGTATGAAATATCTGAGCAAGGTATTCTTGGATGAAAATGAGTTCACCGGTCGCATTCCTAGTTCTCTTGCTGAATTGCCCAACCTTTTGGATTTGGACTTACATTCGAATCACTTTGAGGGAAACATTCCAGAGTTTCGAACCAAAAATAAGTTCAGAGTTTTCAATGTATCCAACAACCAGCTCGAAGGTGAAACACCAGGAAGCACAAACGTTGGCGATCCCAGCGCAAATGATGGTAAGCTCACAATATAATCCTTAATCATCTCTCATGTTCCTGTAGGTGTTCAAATATTTTCAATGCTACTTACATTTCATTAACTTTTTTCGTCACTGTTATTTATAAGAGGAAAGTGTATTCAAGATGAGATTTAACTTTGTTTTTATTCTCACTTCATTAAGTTTCGTATCTAACATCTTTAGCCTAAGATAAACTTCGAGGTTGAATATTATTCTGTCTTTAGAAAGATATTCAAATTGCACGATACTTTTTATTTAAAAAACTATAGTAAGGGATTTGATTTCTTCCAGCTAGTTGAAAGATTTGGCAAGATACTACTGTATTTTATTTTATAGGACAGAGATGTATAAGCGAATGATTTTTATTCTGTGAATCCTTCATAGCATTAAATTTAATGGACAGGAAGCTTTATATTACTTAATCTAGTCATACGAAGTAAGCTGGAGCTGCATGCACGTTTATGCCTCAGGTCCAGTATCAACTGAATAATGCAGAGGCTAACAATGATCATAAATAAGAAAAATAAACAGTTGAAAATTGTGTTCTACATATTTTCTGAAGCAACATATTCTGCATACCATGTTGATGTCTGTTAATTAATTAATTTGCGGTGCAATAGGAAACGAATTGTGTGGAAAACCTTTGAGTCCCTGCAAAAAGTCCTCCTCAAGGAAGCGAGATATTCTTATAATTGCTATTATAGTGGTGGCTGTCATTCTCTTGGCTTCAATTATAGCAGCTTTAATTGTTCGTCGTCGCCGGAGGCGAAGAAGACGTAGTTCTCAGACGCAAACTACGGTTCAGCAAGTGCAGCATCAAAACAGTGCGCCATTGGTAATTAAGAAGAGTCCATCACTTGATCTGACAGTTGAATTCAAGAAGGGCGAGGGTGGGGATTTGAACTTTCTTAAGAAAGACAACGAGAGATTTGATCTGCAAGATCTTCTTAGAGCCTCGGCTGAAATTCTGGGCAGTGGAAGTTTTGGATCTACGTATAAGGCTATTGTTTTGAACGGACCAGCCGTGGTCGTGAAGAGATTTAAGCACATGAACAATCTTGGGAAACAAGAGTTCTTTGAGCACATGAGAAGGCTCGGAAGCCTAAGCCATCCTAACCTTCTTCCCCTGGTCGCTTTCCACTACAGAAGAGAAGAAAAGCTTCTGGTTTATGACTTGGTTGAAAATGGCAGCTTGGCCAGTCATCTCCATGGTATATACTATATACCTCTCTTCATCACAAACCAAAAGCTGGTAAAACTCAAAATGCTCATATATGATTTCAAATGCTATTTATTTTACAGGTAGGCGTGGTTCTGGGCTAGACTGGTCAACCCGATTGAAAATCATAAAAGGAGTAGCGAGAGGATTAGCTTACCTCTACAGAGAATTCCCAGATGAAAAGCTACCACATGGACATCTCAAATCCTCGAATGTTCTGCTAGACTGCTCAATGGAGCCTCGTTTGACGGAGTACGGACTCGTGCCGGTGATGAACAAGAGCCACGCTCAACGGTTCATGGCAGCATACAAGGCCCCAGAGATGAACCAATCGGAGCGACCCAGCCAGAAGACGGACCTGTGGTGTTTGGGGATTCTCATTCTGGAACTACTGACAGGGAAATTCCCGGCAAATTACCTACGACATGGGCAAGGAGCGAACTCGGACTTGGCCACGTGGGTGAACTCGGTGGTGAGAGAAGAGTGGACAGGGGAGGTGTTCGATAAGGATATTCTGGGTACGAGGAATGGTGAAGGAGAGATGCTGAAGCTGTTGAAGATAGGAATCTACTGTTGTGAATGGGACGTGGAGAATCGGTGGGATTGGAAGCAGGCGATAGCCAAGATTGAGGAATTGAAGGAGAAGGACAGTGAAGACGATTTCTCTTCTTTTAATAACAGCGAAGCAGATTTGTCCTCCTCCAGGCCTATCACCGACGAGGATTAATTCTCGCTCCCACCACCCAGCTAGTTCATATGGCCAATAATGTCAAGAAACCAAAGTTTGGAGCTTTTTTTCATTTGTATTGTCATTATTCTGATTCTTCCCCCCTTTTTTTTTTGTAGCATACATGTATCGATGACGATGAATTGCTGGACCGCTTGGTCGGTCAAAAATGGCTTCACGCTTACGCTCACACTCACGTTAGTCTTCGTCGAGGACCCCTTCGTGTGGTAAATGACGAAGGGCAAGTAAAGGACAGCCAATGGATTCTTGTATAAATAAATTAAAAAGAAAATACCATCATCCTTGTATCATTGGTTTTGTTAGAACGAAAGTTGTTTTTCCCCCCTAAAGCGCATAGATATCTTTTTATTAGATAAAATCCTATTCGAAGTACAATTACACTAAATGTGAGACCTTTTTTAATAGGAATTTGAACCTTAATTCGGCATGTTATGATGGACTAATCTCTTTTCACTAGATTCAATTCTGTTGGCATAACCAAAATTGCTATTGATACGAGAAAGAAAACCTTTAATTCTGGGCTCCCCAAGGTACACTAAACCATATTTGTGGAAATTTCGGATTTCTGCAAAGCATGAGAGAGCAGATTACACCTTTTGATTTTGGGGTATCTACCTTAAAAAAAGTCCCTTTTTGCCTTTGAGCTTTCCTGCTGAGTATTGTGAATGGATTGTTGTATCTATATATTTTTGCCCCCAAAAAAAGCACTTTGTTTCTAATGAAATTAGTAGATTACCCGGGTACTTTATAGAATTTAATGCAACGATATCAAATTGCATTATTTATTCACTTTTTAATATAAAAAATATTTATATGTAATATTAAATTATAAATAGATTTATAAGTTAAATTAGAAACTTCTTCCCCGTGCAATGCACAAGTCAATGCATTTGATTAAAATTATAGTTGTGATAGATTATTTGTGTAATTAGATTCACTTAGATTAGAATAGATAATCATAATAATCATAATAAATTGTATGAAAATGTGTATAAAGAGTAAAAAAAAAACTGCAAAATTATATCACACTACGCTGATACACCTAAAAAGGCAAAGAATATTAAACCCCTCTTCCACGCACATGAAGAAAGCAAGCATTTGATAAGCAGAAAATAAAAAACGAAAAGAAGAAAGAAAAACTACAAGTAGCGATTATGCGTTTATCTTCTTCAAAAAAATGTGTGATAACTCTAGTTTCATTACCAACTATTTCAAAACTTTCACTTGCCTGTCTTAAAGATCCTTCCTATAGTACTCTAGTAATCCCCTTGGGGTAATGCAACCTTCTATCTGAGTATCCTGCACAGAGTTCATAGGTTCAGTTAGTGAGTAGACCTTGAATAAATAAGTAATGTTGACCACTTACTCATCTACTTATGTTCTGTTCAGAATCATTCCAATCTAGCGAGGAGTGTATAACGAAACCTTTGGCAATCCACTTCCTTATAGCACATGCCACAATAAGACGTTAGGCATATTTTGTAGATTATTTTATTTGTTGGACACAAACTGAAGAAACGAAATAAAAGATCTCTTTTGAAAGCATTCGAAAATGACCGACTCATTGAGACTGCCAAACCAGCCTGGTACTGGAAAATCAAATACTACAAGTAAGGAGCAGTGAAGTGGATAGAACAGCCAAATTGTTGAAAGCTATTATGCCCCTTGTTGTAACAGAGGAAGGAGGAGAACAACTTTTAAAAGGTCATATAACCCATCATCTGATCCTCATTGTAGAGGAGTGACAAATTTGAGAGTTGTGTTTTAAAGAGCCATAAAATTCATAGAACGAACAGATTTGATGACCAACAATGAAAAAGTAATGTGCTTGTCTATCTTCTCATATGACTGCTCACTAAATGTCAATTAATAGGGGGATATTTGGAACAATAATGAGGCTATTTAAGCTCCAGCTGGGAATCCAACCTGTGTTCAATCCAACCATGTATTAAACCACTCCCAATTCAATTGGGCGTTACGAGATTTTATATATAAAGTAGATAAATTAATTTAAAAAATAATAAATAGAAAAACTAATATAAATCATAGATTACCAAAAGTCTCAGAACTAGAATCGATTTTTTTACTGGTTTTCAAACTTAGTACGGGATGAGGATATTTTATTTTATTTTATTTTTTGACCGAATATGAGGATATTTTATTAATAAATTGATTAGACCTCAATCATGAATCTACATCATGCGAGTAAGAAATATCCTAGATTTTTAGGCTTGAATGCTTGGGTACAGTCTGAGCTGGAAGTTTATCCATAAGATTTCATCGTTGGTTTTGGCCCACTGGGTTGAAACTTGACAAAAACCAGGACGCCAACAGGTTTGAGTCAAGCGTGAATATGAAAGTCACCCTTTAAATACAACTCCTTAGCTGCGCCTGGCTCATCATCATCATCATCATCATCAAAGCGAAGAAATGTCAGAAAAGAAGGAACGTCGAATTCTGGTGGCCGTCGACGAAGGAGAGGAGAGTATGCACGCTCTCTCATGGTGCCTCAACAATCTGGTCCACCCAAACTCCGATGATACTCTCATTCTGCTCTACTGCAAGGCACCTCGTCCTGTTTACACCGCCTTAGATGGCGCCGGCGGTTCGTGTTAATCCCATCGCTATTATGTTATGCCCCGTCTTTGCCCTTTTCTTCCTTCTATTGGCTTTAGCCTTTGGTAATTCTTTTTTTCTGGTCAGGATATTTGTTCTCTGCTGATGTATCGGCGGCCATGGAGAGGTACAGCGACCAAGTGGCGGATAGCGTGATGGAGAAAGCAAAGAAGCTTTGTGCAAATGCGCAGCAGCAGGTAGGTTTTAGCGATTTCCTTTTTCTGAGATTGATAGATGATTTGTGATGGAGGTGGAAATGGCGATTATTGACGAGGGTGAGCGAATGAAACAGGTGAAGGTGGAGACGAGGGTGGAGAATGGGGACGCGAGGGACGCGATCTGCGAGGCGGCGGAGAAGCTGGGGGCGGACGTGCTGGTGATGGGAAGCCATGGCTATGGCGTCATAAAGAGGGCCTTCCTTGGGAGTGTGAGCAACCACTGCGCTCAGAAAGCCAAGTGCCCTGTTCTCATCGTCAAGAAGCCCAAATCATAAATTCCTCCTTTCTTTCACTCCCTTGTAAATTTCCAGTGCTGTATTTGTATACCTTGTAAATTAATAAATCAGATAATTAAAAAAAGCTCTTTTTTTTCTTTCGCCAGCTGAAAAAAGCTCATGTACGTTGCTACTTTTCTGCGGTAGTATTTATAAGGCATTATCAGGAAAAGCTTCAGGAGTGTTTGAGTAAGATTAAAATTATTATTTTATAAGTGTTTTTTTTTATTTACAAAAAAATATTTCTGAGAAGTGATTATTGAGATATCCAAACAACTTTTTGTATTACCTATCTTTTAAAATATAATAATTTTTTAATCATACTTTTATGTAATAAATAAATATACTTTTTAAAAAAGATAATTATATACATTCTAATATATTATATTAAAAATTTAATAAAATAATTTATAAATAGGATTAAAGAATTTTTTTCTTTCTCTGCCCGGTAAAAAAGGGTAGGTTATAGTTTTTTGTTTATCATTAAATAAAGTTTGTTAATTATTTGTTCTTTAAAATGTTTACAAATATTATTGTTATATGATACTGGAGAGTCTAATTTTATTTGCGTTTTTATTTTTTTGGGTGGTCTATTAATTTAGCAAAAATAATACAAGGCCTGATTGGGAGAATTTAAGAAATCCCATTTTATGTAAGTCTAGATAAAACTTCTTTTACATACTTATCTCGTATTCCATAAATCACTATTAAGAAACTATTTATAAAATGTTTCAAATGGGCTCACTGGTACCTGTCATTGGCATTTGGGAATAGTTGAAGCCAAAATGACAAAAAGACAAAACACTCTCAAGGGATGTTCAAAACATTATCGGGGGGTGTTTGACAATATGATAAAACCATGGTTTTGAGACCAAACCATAGTTTTGGTCTCAAATTTGTCAAATATGAAGAAAAATTAACAAACCGTGGTTTCAGGCCAAAACCATGGTTTTGAACTCAAAACCATAGTTTTAGGAAAAGTGAATCTATTTTGTTTATGGCTTAAATTAGAGAGTATGATTGTGCCTGTCAGAGTAGATCTCAACGATAATATGATTTTAACACCCCTTGATTATTTTTTTATAAACATATTTAATCTTATATTTTATAAATATATACACATATTAATTAATTATTAATTATATTATCTTATGTATTATTAATTATGTTGGTAAAAAATATGTTATTAACAATTATATTTTTTCAAATTAAAATATATCATATTGACTTATGTCCTTTGTAGTAATTTGTACATATAAAAAGTGCTTCTGATAATAATTATTCAAATACTCTCACTTCACAAAATCTATTCTCCTAAGAATCTATTCTCCAGAAACTATTATCTAAACCATGGTTTGGTTTCATCCAAACACTCCCTTGGTTTCAATTTACCAAACACCTTGATCTAAAAAAATAATTGCTGGTTTAGTTCTCTATGGATTAGGTAGTTATTTGAATTCTTTTTTAAAAGTATTTGGATAGAAACAAAATCATGATTTTAAAAATATTTTTATAATATAAAAAATAAATATATAAAAAATTTTGTTTCAATTTATAAAAAAATATTTTTTAAAAGCACTTTTGAAGTTAAGTAAACTAAGGGGGTGTTTGGATAAAACCAAACCATGATTTAGAGAATAGCTTCTGAATAATAGATTCTTAGAAGAATAAATTTTGTGAAGAATAGATTTTGTAAAGTGAGAGTGTTTAGATAATTATTATCAGAAGCACTTTTTATATGTACAAATTACTAAAAAAGACATAAGTTAATATGATAATTACATAAAAGATAAATTTTATGATATATTTTAACTTGAAGAAATAAAATTGTTAATAACATATTTTTTACTAACATAATTAATAATACATAAGATAATATAATTAATAATTAATTAATATGTGTATATATTTATAAAATATAAGATTAAATATGTTTATAAAAAATAATTGAGGGGTGTTAAAGTCATATTATCGTTGAGATCTACTCTGACAGGCACAATCATACTCTCTAATTTAAGCCATAAACAAAATAGATTCACTTTTCCTAAAACTATGGTTTTGGTCTGAAACCACGGTTTGTTAATTTTACTTCCTGTTTGACAAATTTGAAACCAAAACCATGGTTTTATCATATTGCCAATCACCTCCCAAACCTGTTATGGTGATACAGGTAATTATAAAAAATATCTTATTAAGTTTGACGCGGATTAAAAAAATTCCAATGTATCGATTGGCGAAAATGAACAATGCTAATGTTACAATGAACCTAAATTATTCTGGTAAAAAAAAAAAAACCTAAATTATCATTCCATTCCGTACTGTTAATATTATGTTGACGATAATTGAAGATCGTCTGCCTTCCGCCTTTGTAAATATAAAAAAATGGCGGGTGTTATGTCTAATAACACTCTGTCGCGCCTAGACCCGCCGCCCAGTTTCCCTCCTTATCGCTGCCGCTGCTCGCTGGACGCCACCACGATTTTCTTCCAGTTTCCATGTAAAGTACTTCTTCGTTTCTGGATTGCTCCGTGTCATTTTCTTTTTCCTCTTCGTTGGTTCTGCGCAACCGAACCAAAGGATCATTTTGAAGAAGAATTCTAAATTCCATTTATCTAGTTTTACTTAACTATTCTCTTGTTGCCTTTTCAACGCTATTTCGGTTCCCGTCGCTGCGAAAGCCTGGTACTTATATCGATGACGTAAAGTAGTTCTCTTCGTTGAAGTCGTTTTTCTTTCTATTTTGCCACTTAAGTTGTGTCGTTGGTTAGCGAATTGCTGCTGAATATGACAGCCTCATTGGTCAAAAAAGATATTCGCGTGCCAATTTGGTGTCTACTTATTTTTTTCAGAGGAGGAAATGGGAGCTTCAGAGCACTAAACTATACCTTAACCAACTTGTGGCAGCTGCTAGGGCTGAGCGAAGCTTTCTTGCACCATTGCTTGCTAAACCCGGTAGTTCAATGGGTTGGTGGGAAGGCGTCGGGGAACCTCGGGTTCTCATTGCCCCTGGTAAATCTATATTTATATCGTTGATTTTAAATGTGCGTCTGATTTTGTGTTGTCTGTAAAAAGAAATATAAATTCGTCATTCCGCTTGTCTTTGTGTATCTAGCATACGCATCATGTTGACAACTTGACCTAACTAAAGATTGCTTTATTTGTAGAGGTCACAAGTTATTGCTAATTAAGTAGAAACATACCTGAGGAAGATCTTATCATCAGATGTGATATGGTTAGCATGTTTATTATTGAGATGGCAAATTTCTAAACTTCAGTGTTAATGCACATAGGATTAGATGATTCTGAATGAAAGTAACGCTGTCTCGTAATCTATGAGTTCTGACAAGGCAAAAAGGATGTCTTTTATTTTAAAAGATAAAAAAAGTGGACCATTGGATTGACGAACAAACAATTTTCTCCTATAATGCACATGAGTGCATGAAAACAACTAGGAGACTCAAAACATGCTAATTATAGAATATATGTTTTATATGCCTTAGTATGCTATGTAAGTTATAGCTACTGATTAATTATTTTATTTTGATTTTTGTTCATTCACCGCCTTGTGATTGATATTATACTAAGTATGTTACTTTACAATCGCAAGAGCTTTTGAACTTTGTCTCCCTCTATGTAAATGCAGATCCTGGTACAAGTGGAAATGGTTTAGGACGCTTGCTTTTGCTTCGTCATCCCAAATCAGGTAGGTGCTTCCCCGAAATCATAATGTATGAGTTCTTGCGAACTGTGTGTCTCGAGTACTTAAAGTGTTGGTTAATTACTTAATTTAATATAGTTCTGTTAATATTGCTCTATCACTTAGCTAGAAATCCGTCTTTGGGATATGAAATATTGAAGCTTTTGAATATTCTATCCTTATCTCTTTGCCTCCTCCTCCTATTTATTTATGATTCTAACTTGTTTTAACTTGGTTGAAGGAAATGCTACCCGCTACCTCTTTGTAAATGGGACGCTTCAAGAGCTTCAATGGTTTAAAAAATCATATGGATCGTGGTTCTTGGGAGATTATCTATGTGAAGGTAGATGCTGGATTTCCTCAGCTATATAGTATTGATCTAGTGGTGCTCCTTATTTTTGCACGGTCACATATATATATATATATATATATAGTTAATTAATTATATGGCATTTGGTACATTTCTATTTATAATTTGTCTTCTGTGTGAGGAAAACTAACAGTTTTCTTCTAATGTCCTTTTCTTAGATTGCATGAGATTATTTCAACTACTTAGTCTGTAATCAGTCTATAAGTCTCTTTCACATATGATAAATTTATTATGACTGCATAGATTCAGCTTGAATTCTTGGCAATTACTGTCAGTTTAATCATTATTATTCATATTTTTCTTCTTCTGCAGATGGCAGGTTGTATCTGTCCACTCCAGTGGATCCTATTTTCATCATGTTGCCCATTTTTGAGGAAGCTAGAATGAAGGTAATTCTGTGTTTCTCATCAGCCAATTTTGCAGAGGAAGGCATTCCTTATTTTCCTATTCCTCGTATGAATTAATTAAGGGTTAAGGTGCGAATCCACCCATGAAATATTCTGTCAGGAGCACCAAGCACCATAAGCTTTTCTTGGATGTAAAAGTACGCATGGGTCAAAAATACTATGGCTGCTAAGTCAACTAACATGAACCGTTTAACAAACATGTCAACTAAAAAAATGGTGCTAAAATACACATGAACTTTTTGAAATAGCGCAAAAATACACATGAACTTTTTAATGACCGTGGCATTTTTGCATCATCTTGAAAACTTTATTTGTATTTTTGTACCGTTTTCTTGACCTACATGTTTGTTAGATGGTCAACATTAGTTGACTTAACAGTCATTGCATTTTTGCATCATTTTAGAACTTTTATGTATATTTTTGCATTCAAAAAAAATTTATGGTGTTAGCCCCTCATAACAAAATACTTTATGGTTAAATTTGCATCTTAACCCATTAATTAATGATCAACTATTTTTAACAAGGCCAAATTGAATTTTCTGCTACTCATCTGCGACTTCTTACATATGTACCAATTTTTCCTATTAATATCAGTTCAACATTAAAGGAATCCACATAAAAGGCCAGTCGCATGCTCCTGCTTGTCAGGCTGTCAAAGAGTCTACTTTTCTTAGCAAGTTTTTCTTCTTCTAGTATTTATGAGAAATGAGGAATTTGTTCTTGAGCCATGGATAGTATTTTCATATTTACGAACTCTACTTGTAGCATTCAGCATGTAGTTGGGGGATTTTTATATTTTTCTGAGCATAGCAATGTCAAAGATATGCTCTTGTCTTGCAGGGCCAGATAGGTTCTAGAATTCTGCTCATTTTGAGGAAAGAGATAATTTATGTTTTCTGAATATCTCAAGTTATCATTTAATTGCATGCAGAAAGGGGAAGATCCTGGTAAATTCAGACAACTGGATGAGATCTTGTTTGTTGATGGGTATCCTGAATATCAACATTTATTGTCCACAGTGGAGAACTGTATGCAAGTAGTTTGTGAAGTTAAAGGTGACATGTGCAGCCCTTATCTAGAGCTGCAGTTTGAAAGTTTGCCAAGTTATCTTATGATTTTAGTAAATAATTTAGCAGATATTTTGAGCGTAAATTCGGATGTCTGTTATTGATTTAGGACTTTTCTCTATTAGACTGGTCATGGACAATTAAACATGATGATCCCATTGTTGATCACTTCAAGGCATGCTATACTTTTTGCTTCCTTTTCCCCCCATAATAATATCCAGGCATATATGACTGATTTTTAAATCTTGACAATGGGATAGATTCTTTATGGAGCTTTGTAGCAATAAAATTGTCATACGGGGGAATAGCCGCATGGCTGTCTATGGGGATTAATTTTGCGGAGATCAATTTTCTACAAAACTATGGTAAGAATAAGTGATTGTGGTGATTAATTTTTACCTCTTCTCTCTCTACATATGCAGAAGTTGGGTCAACGAAATTTTTTAGGCTTGATGATTCAAAGGTTCAACGTTGGCTGCATATTAAGGTGAATCTACATATCCTCTCTGTCTTGTGAAGTGATGTCTGTGCTTTACAATGTTCTTGACATAAAGTGACTGTAAGAATAAAACATGGCTGATATATTCCCTCGTATTATGTTAGCCATTTAGGACATGTATCCTTTGGGTATATTGTGAGAGTGCTTTCATCTGACATAATTTTTTATTTATCCTGGATATATTTTTGGTTATTACTGATTTGGGTTGCTTGAAAAGTTGTAACTGGTATTAAAATTTATTGTTTTGACATCTCTTATTTTAGGTTTGTCAGCTGAAGCAGACACTACCCCAGCTGGGCAAAAACTATGCTGTACAAGAAGAGAAAGACACATGTAAAGTCTGTAAACTGTTTGTTACCATACTGTTCTACTGGCTGTTGAAAATTTTCCTCTGGTTGATGTTGAACCGAGAAAAGGAAATATCAACACGCTATATTGAAAGACTGAACATGTTGGGAAAACATATTGGGCCTTTGGATCCTGTGCTGGGGTATCTGGCTATCCGCCCTTAGATTTATGCGTTTTGACTATTGTGTATACAAACATTATGATGAGGCTAGATTGGCAACCTGTGGAATTGATGTTTTTAATCAAGTAAATGCATGTTAAAACATTGGGTGCAGATCTATAGCATAATATACTGTATTTAACCAAATGATCATCTTTTCTTTGTTATCAAATTTACAGAATGGGAAACGGACCGCAGAATTTATCCTATTGGTAGATTACATGGTTGATAGGCAACACACTTGATAAAATAAATATCCCACTAGAATTTCCTATCTTTTCTTTTAGATTACGCACTTGAAAGGCATCTCTGGTTTTTTGGCATCACAAATTTTGCTGCTTAATAATATACTGATGTTACTGATGCAGTGGTGGACGCAGTCTCAATGTTAGGAGAGTACTTGAGGAATGAACCGTGGTTGCAGTATTTGTGTAATCATCTTAAGTATGGCCTTTGAATGTGTCTTGTCACGTAGATATTACTCGGATATACTCTTTGGGCTTAAGAACTGTTTTAACAAGGACTTAACTTTTGCAGGTTAGACATACTTGAGGTTACTGGGAAAGCACAAGTGAGCGAAGCTCCTAGTAATGACCCTGGTTTTGTTAATGAATTACAGGTATTTACTAATACTAGAGACTTGTGGTTGCTACCATGAATTTTAATATAATTTGATAGCTTGTATTAATTATCATCAGGAAAAGAATGAGGATAAAAAGCCTGCAAAAAGGGGAAGACAAGCGAAGAAGCCAAAAATGGAGACAGAATCACACAACATTAAAGACATGTTCACCAGGGCTTCCCGTAAGAAAAAATAAGGCACTGTCATTTGGTGAAATATGAGTTAATTGTCATTAAATGGATGGTGTTCTCCAGACACCGGGGTTATGGGATAAGCGTTGAGTCAGATCTTACTTTGTACCGTCCAATTTATTTTGAGGATATGATTAAATATTTTGCCCATGTCGCTTTCAATATCACATAGATGACCTTTCCTCTGCCTTTATAGACCACATCTAAATATGATGGGGGGTCGTTTACTTTATCCCTTCACGTGATTTCTAGCGCAAGTAGATATCTTGATGCTTGTTGAACCTTTCTTTTTCTTTTTTCCTTTTGAGTGTAGACGGGTTCCCATTTGGTGTCATCAGGTGATGAGCACCCAATGCTCATCACCTGATGAGCAATCTGGACCGTCCAGATTTAATTTGGACGGTCCAGATTTAATATCATTAAATAATTATTTTAAAATAGAAAAAATTATATTTTTAAAAAATGATAGTTATGAGATTATTTTTATTTTTATCTTATACCTATTAAAATAATTATTTTTAAAAAAAATAAAAATAAAAATAAAAATAAATCTGGACCGTCCAGATCAGATGGGGTGATGAGCATTGGGTGCTCATCACCTGATGAGCACCCAATGCAAGTCCGAGTGTAGACCGTCCTCTTCAAGCTGCTGGACCCTGTCTGCTAGGGTTTAGCAGCTTCTATCCCCTGGGCTTTCTTCTTTTTGTGGGAGAATTTTGACTATGAAAGGCTTTTTTCTGTGGATGAGTTTTGGATTTTCAATATGTATGTACGTGTTGAGAGTTACGGCCTGATGTATAGATTAGCTTAATTACTCAATAACTCATTTTATTGTCAATAAAGCTTGAAAATAAAGGATTTATAAGAGATTTATTATAAGTTGAAATTAAATTATTATATTTCTGTATTAGAAAATAAAAAAGACTATTTTTCTAATCAAAATAATATATTTCTGTAATTAGATATATTTTTGAATATTCTATAATTAAATATATTTCCGTTTCATTTATGTGGAATGACGAGAAATCTCGAAGTCATATTATTTATCTGTAACGAGATTTCTGACGTGCCCATTTGTTTTTTAAAATATATTAATTAATGAGTCGTTTTAGAGTCTCAACTTTGGAGTGTGAAACTGTGAACACGTGTTGCTTTGGCGTGATTGATCAGTGGCAAAAAATTAAACACCTGATTGATTGCATTGAAACATAATGGCGGTTATAGATAACGGCCTCCTTAGTATTTTATTGTCCACTTATGCTGAACCAATATTTTGTCCTTTTTTTATTTCATCTTCCCAAGTCAGGTCCACAAAAAAAAAAAGAAAATCACCTTCCCAAGCAAAACATTCAATAAAATTGAAGTTTTACAATATCCGAATCTTTTGTACTTTGTCTGGCCTCCATTTGACGTAGCAATCAATATTAAATACTAGCCTTCGCCTTGACTACGACAAAAGCTTGCATTTTTCACACCATTCTCCATCCCTTTCAGGCTTTCACCTTGCAGACTCAGAAAGCTTCAAATCCCCCTCTCTTTTCCTGCTTCTTCATCCACAACTTCATCTGCAAAGGTATTCATGATCTACAAGTTTCCCACTTGCACGTTCCTGAATATAATTTGAATCACAATTCACCTGCACTGATCAGTCGTTTCTATTTTGCATTGCTTTCCGTTCATGCTAGTTTCCTTTATTTCTATTTCTATTCTTTTTCTTCGGGTTTTGATTCTTCGTTGCATGATGTTTATGCTCTAGTGTTACTGATGACTCTTGACTGGTTTTGACGAACTTGTCTGCAAAAATATTGTTGTTCCCAGAAAATCAATAAGAAAAAAATAAATAAATGCTTTGACTCTTCTCTTTCGTTTCATTCAACACGGAGGACGCCGATTTAATGCGAAGATCTGTAACTCGCTGGGTTACCTGAGTTTACGAAGTAGGAATGTATCAAAACAGTTTACGGACTTATTGTGTATGACGTTATGGGTTAGAGAATGAGGTTCTCTTTTAAGAAGGCGTCTACGCAACCCAAGCTTTCTTGCAGAATTTGAAGCTTCCTTCAGACTTCAGAGGAATATTCCCAACTCCTTTAGGAGTTACTGTCTTGTATATTAGCCCGTTAATAGCCCACTTTTCTAGAAGTTCGGTACAAATAGCTAGTTTTCCTTTACTCTCCTTTCTTCCATTCTATATTGAGAAGAAATTTACCAAGTTTTCAAGTGGAAAATGATGCCCTTGCACATGATTAGAATGTCCTTGGCCTCAGAGGTCTCTTTCAGAGCAGATGAAGGGATAGAGATAGGATTGAAAGCCAAATATAAATAGGGCTATTTAGTATGTTCACTAGTAATATATTCTATTTTGGATATTACTATCAAAAGTCGTTTAATTTCTCTTATCAATAGGTCTCAAGCAAGCTTATAAGTTGAAAGAAAGGAAGGTGGAGAGTGGAGAACATCTCTTGCTTCCTCAAGTTCCAATGGCAATGGTGGATATTGAACTTACATGTATTGATAGCGATAATGTTATGAAGATCCTTGAAGCTGAAGGTGTTGAGTTTCTTCTATTGTGAAGGACGGTAACTTGGGTTATGCAGAAACTTTCTGTAGGGTTTGTCTTTGGATATATATATATATATATATATATATATAATATATATGTGTGGACCATCCTCAAAAATGTCTGCTTCGTTAATATATGTTTATTGCTAATTCATTACCATCTTTGAACTGAGATTAGGTACCCTTGTCATCATGCAATGGGAAAACTATCTGCCTTTTCTTCTCTGCAAACTGGTGCAGGCCTTGCAGAACATTCATGCCCCATCTGGTTGAACTTTATCACACATTGAGAGATAGGGTGTAAGCCTAGAAATTATCTTCATCTCCTTTGACCGTGATGAGGATGCATTTCAAAACAACACTTAAGAGTATGCCATGGCTGACCATACCATTTAATGTTAATTTGCACAGAAGACTCATTGACAGATACCGAGTAATCGAATCCCATCATTCATTCCATTGTCCTCAAAGGGCATCGCAGTAGAAGAAGACTGG